TCCTTCCCTCATCCTACTGTGGGATTTTTTTACTCTCCCTTCACTCCTGCTCCTTTTTCCTTTTACTTCTTTATTCATCTTTCTCCGTTACCGTCGTTTTCTCGTTCTCACTTCAGCCCTCGGCCCCACCATCCCTCAGCCCAACCGCGTCCTCTCGCTCGCACTCTCAATTCCTCGATTCTCCTCTTCTCTTTGCACGAGTCCAACCCCTTCTTCGAGGGTATTACGATGAGTTCCTTGCACCTCTGAAAAATATTTCGCCGGCTCTTTCGTATATACAACTGTGTGAAAAACTCCCTCATTCTCGAGATCTCTGTCCTCTTTACATGTTTCTCTGTCTCACTTTTGGCGTGAAGTGGGCATGGGCGAGGGGAGGAGGTGGGGGATGGACCCGTTGGGTTTTCACCTAGACTCGTCGTCTTTTTCTTTCCTCCTAAACCCAATGTGCAATGGCCAACAAAGGGCATGTTCGGATACGAGGCCCGCGGGCCACTGCTCCGGCCATCCTCACTCTGTACTTTTCTTCCTCCTCCGGCCCCTCCGACCCCTCCGACCTCACCGACTCCTGCGTCGGTCGCCAAGGTTGTTTTTTCTTTCTCTCTCTCTCTTTTTTACACTCTCCTTTTTCGCACAGTCTCGGACAGTGTAACGGGTCTTTGTTAATTTTTTTTTTTCGACTCCAGAGGTTTTACTGGGTACTCGTTGCTGTTGTTTTTTCTTCCCTCTTTTTCCACCATTTTCTTTCTATTCGGGCGTCGTTATTACTTTCTCTCCAGATACGTACGGGTGCTTGTCTTCGTTATCACGGTAATAGGAGCACCGAGGTATCAGCTACATCATTCTTTTGTATTGTTATTGCGGCGAGTTGAATTTTTCGGTGTTACGGGCATTTTGAGGTATTAATCTGAAGATCGGTGAGACAGTGCGAAAATTTCGCAAGTTCTTCAAACGCTAGTAATAATTTTTTGGAATTGGCAGGGGCCGTGCGGTATGGAAATTGCCGAAGTGAAATATTTTCTCTGTGATTTCCAAAAATTATATTTTACCACAATCCCAACCCCTCATCTCGGTTTTACAAAAGAAGAAAATGATCTTTCTCAAAAATCAAATATTTTCGTCTCCAATTCTACCAAAACCAGCGTTTCTACTTATACAATAACACACTATTCATCAGACCCAATTTTTCCCCAGTATATACCCCTTTTTACAGTAAAATCGCCAAGTATAAAATTTCGTTGTCAAATAAGGGTGGAGTAGTGGAATAAGGGTGAGATGGATTGGGTGATGGAAGAGGGTGGGATGGATCGAATGCGAGGGGTGAGGGGTGCGTCGACGATGACGGAAATGCAAGCGCCGGGTGGAGGACGTCAAACGGCCGAGGGGTGGTTTGGGGTGGCCAGGGGGGGGGGCGCTTGCACAACACCCCTGCCCTTTTCTTTCCATTCCGTTTTTTTTCCCATCCCTCTCCCTCCCAACAGCCGGGTGAAAAGGGGGAAGCAAGGGGGAGGGGGAGGAGGAGGAGGGGTGGCAGATAGGGAAGGGGGAATTTTCAAGGGGTGGTTGGAGGACTCTCGGGGTGTACCTTGGATTCGCGTAATGGCAAAATCGATCAGAGGAGTTGAGCGTAAGTAGGTATAGACCTGTGGCGACGAGGGCACACGCGCGTGGGTTTTGTGGCGGGGCCACTTTGATCTTCGAATCGTTGAAATTTTATGTCACGCTATTTCCGTGACTACTGTGGGCTCACGTACGTGTGCAAGACCGACATCATTCCACTTGTGTTTTATCCGCCCTGCCCCCCCCTTTCGGCCCCCTCCACCCTCACCAGCCCCCCTTCGTCTCTCACACTCGCCATCATCTTACACTTGGCCTTAAGATTGCACTAGGGAAGGGGGAAATGGACAAGTTGAAGAGCTAAAGCCATGTCGATCACGTTCAATGCGATTTGCCCTCCCCCCTTGCCCCTCCCTCCTCCACCGACCTAACCCTCTTCGTCCCCAACACTCTCTCATAACGTGTCTTTTTGCGGGAATCGAGTCGTGGGGTCTTTTGCGGATTTGCAACAATAAAAGTCTGTTTTTTTTTTCTTTCTTTTTTTTTTGTTCAATTCACGAGATATTGTTGTTGGAATTTTTCTCGGTAGCTGTTAGTCGATGGGTGCGAGGAAAATTGTAATTTGGTAATTTTTAGTGGTGGAACTTGAAATTTTTGGGGGTTCATGAATGGGGAATTTATGTGGAATTCTTTGTTGAGGGATTTCTTGTGCCGTTTATTTCGGGAGAGCAAGTGCTTTCGTTCAAGTTGAAAAAGGAATTAATGAACTGAGGATGCGCCCTATTTATTCGGTTTCGTATAAGAAAAGGGGATGGATAGAATATCGTGAAAACGTGCGGAATGATGGCTTGAGTGGAATTAAGGAAAACATGTGGGTGGGTCATTAGATAGATATGGAAATTGAAGAAAGTAAATACAAAGACGCCTTAAGTAAATAATACAGAACGTGAAAAAGGTGTTGCTAGATAATTAAATAATTGAATTAATTTTCCAGCCGATTTTTCCTCGCAATTCAAATCGATATTTAGAATTAATCCCAATTTATTATTCGGCCCATCAAATATTAACCCCCACATTTGACCCACGATCGTCCGCTGCGACTCGACCCCGAAGGGTCAAACTCGAGGGTCAATCCTCCAATATCAACATTTGACCCACGATGAGATCAAATGATAAGAAGATCCTGCCAACTCTTCTAATAGTCGCGGGTAAATCTTCTTCTGTGAGACATGACAGTTGTGGGTCAATTGTCCCATGATCTTCAAAGGTCAAACTCGAAGGTCAACACCAAATATTTTGACAGATTCCTCTCAACAATTTCAAATAGATCAACTATTATTCTGCAATTCACGTATAAAAATCCCAGTCCCTTGTCTTAGCATTTGTTTTATCGGTATGTGAATGCTCTTCTTCCCCATCCTTGCTCTCCTTTTAGTAAACAATTGTCTGACCTCAAACGAGACTCAAACGGCACACAAGCTCCACGTCGTGACGTTCCCTACCACCACTCGCTAATTCACCCGTACATTTTCTCTCTCCCTTTGTTTTCTTTTTTTTTTGCGGACACGAAATATATTCACCGGGCCGAGTAGAGCGACGAGTGACCCAAGAGACTTTTCTAACGATTTTTTTCCCTCTCGCTTCTATACCCATTCTTTCTCCTGCCCGACCCGCGATAGTTTCTCCGGGGGGTTTTTTTTTTCCGTTGAGTCTTTCCCACTGGCCAGGGTTCAATGACGTCTTTTCAGTGAGTGTGGAAAGACACATAGACTCCCAGTGAATTGTACATAGGAAAAACTACGACGGATATGTAGACCAGTGTTCGATCCGGGTGAGGAATGGATCAATCCCTCTGCATTTTCATTTACATCTACTCCACCTACACACGAGAGATCCAAGTGGAATATAAATGAAGTAAATCAAGTCGCAGATCGTGAAATGCAATTTGTTTAAATTTCCATGGAGTAATTGACGTAATTCAAATAAAAAGAATCCGTCTCCGCCCCAAGTAAGATTCTTCTTGACCCACTGCATAGATTCACACCCATATTGTATTTTTCCAAATTCCCAGAAATGTAATAAATTTAATTATCCATTGAGGAAGAATGCACGGTGAAGCCAAAAGAAAATCCACTAATGAAAGATACCCTTTCCCGCATTTTCCAGTGCTCTTTGTTACATAAAATGAACGGAATTTGACGCGTAGTCGATGCCGCTGGTACCCCGCGTAGCGCCGGTATAGAAAAGGTACAGCATCGAGTGGAGGAAAAAAAAAAAAAAGGGAAAAAAGAAAGAGGGATAGCTAAAGGAAACTCGGTAGAGGAGATTCGGGGTGCGGGTTGGTGAGTGCGAGCCGACGCGGGCAGGTGGAAAGGACGAAGGACAGGGTGGGTAGAGACGGTGGGATGAGGGCGGGAGGGCGGATGAAAGGACGCTTACCAGCTACTACCTATTGATCGCCAATTCTTTTTCTCTTGTTGCATATTAGGCGCACTCTGCCCACCCTCTCACCTACCATCGGCTCCTCCACCTCCACGAATCAGTCCCTACGTATTTCCGCCCTCCAAGGCATCCCCTACCCCGTGCCCCCTTTTTATTTCCACCTTTGCCTTACACACTCTATTCTATATAATATAATGCACATGAGAGTGGAGTCGAAAGCAATTTGGCTGGTAGTTTAATCTTTTTATGTTGGAAAATTCTACAGCGCGGGGTGGGGGCTGCGTCGTTTGACCCTGGGAAAGGGGCGGGGATGGGTCAAATTTTTGGGTTGATGATTGATTTTTGAGGCTGGGTGATCAAGGGTCCGGGGTTGATGTGTGAGAGGGAGTCAAGGTGACGGGCAATATCTCGGGTTTTTGAGGATCAAAAGAGATTAAGGTGTTTGAGGGTCAAATGTGGGGGCGGAGGTGGGTCAAATTTTTGGGTTGATGATTGATTTTGAAGGTTAAGCGCTGAAGGTTCGAGGATCGGAGGGAATTGATGTGCGAAAGTAACAGTGAGCGGCAGAATTCGGATTTTGAAGGTTGAAAAGAGATCATGGAACTTTGAGGGTCAAATGAGAGGGTGAATGTTCTGATCTCGATGTTAGAAATTGATATCGTCGTTTTGCCCTTCAGGAAGGCACTGGAGGGTTGAATATACGGGATATATTGAATCGAGTTGAAAAATCGGATTGAATCAGATCGAAATATCAACTTGAATCGAGTTGAAAAATCGACTTGAATGAAACCTCCCAGTCGATCTCAACCCGAATCAAGTGGAAAAATCAACTCAAATCAGACCGACCCGTCGGCCCACAACTCCCCGACCCTCAATGAGTCAACTCCCGACATGACTCAACTCAACTCGATTCACACCGATTTTTCAACCTGTCTGACCAAAAACCCCGTTACATCACTACACCAAAGACCCATCTAACCCGTAATTTCAATTTCTGTTTTCAGACACGAGATTAATAATTCAGTGACCGTGTCATTGAGATCAAAAGTACTGGTGTGCATTGACGTGTGATAAACAACGGAGGACGAGGAGGAAGAGGGTGAGGATAGACTGTTGTAACTCGTTGTGGCCAGCGGAAACGGCGTCAGCAGTGGCGAAAGAGTCAACCGAGGCGCGGGAGATAAGAAGGCGACGAAGTAGAAGAAGGAGGTGTCGGTGGAGAAGGGCGACAGCGTTGGCGAGTTGGGTTGAATTAACACAGAGAATAGTTACATCAACGTAGTGAAGAGTGAACACAAGGAGGAGATACAAATGATATTAATGAAATACATTTCAACTCAGAGACTGAAATATCTCATGAGATGAACAATCCCTGAACAATCACTCATATCATCGATATCAGATGATCATCATTGCTGAAGCCGTCGCCTTTCTCCTCCCGCGCCACCCATCAACGACAGAGAGCATCATTATTTGGATTATTTTTCATCGATATTGAGATATTATTCAGCGAGCTCGGTTGAGCTCATATCGCGGATACAAGAATCACGTGCTAGACCGGACGTCCGTGTCTGCTTCTGTGTACATCAGTATTTTATTCCAAGTGAGACGTCACCAGTGGTCGCTTGCGGGGGCTTTTTTTTTTTATTTTTGTGATAAGTGCTTGGAGATTTTTAACCACCCAAGGTGGATCAGCTGGGGTACAGCCTTTATTTTGAGACATACCCGGGCAGGCGGACAACCACGGGTCCTAAGATGTGATTTTTCCAAAAATGGCGGATTGCCCCTATGCCCGCTGCATACAGGAACGCAGACACATCAGGAGGGAATTGCTGCGATGGACAAAGAATATGGTCTTCGTAGTTGGTGAGTATTACCATTTTGAAAATTGAAAATTTTATTTTTTTACACTCGTGATAAATACTCAGGGTAATTTTATGGAACGGTGCTGTTGTTTAGGTCGGCTGTCGTCTCGCGGATAATTTAGGGGCGAAAGTGAAATTTTAGGAGAGTTTTAGATAAATTTAAAGGGGTGGCGAGAAAGAATTATGCGACATTTTCCACTCGGTGCATTACTTCCCGTGGAAGAGGATATAAAGAATGAATATAATGTCAGCCATTTTAGTGTGTTTTTGAAACTGATGAAAAATAGATAACGCACGTATTTACAATATATTTTTTGTGTTATTAACAAAACAATATGTGGGAGTTATCAAAACAAATTATTATTGATGAAAAAATTTATTTTTTGTCAGTGAAATTAGTATTTTACTAGTGCAAAGGTGAAATGGAGAGTAAAACTGCGGAATTTAGTTCGATTGAAAAAATAAAAATTGCTACGACTTTGTCTATAAAAAAAGTCGAATTTTCCGCTTTTATCATGATTTTTATTCGATTTTATTATCACAACGAAAAATCACAGATAGAAAAAAAAAACGATTGGATAATTCAGGCACCTAAAATTGGATTCCTCCAATATTTTATTATCGAGAGGTATAAAAATCCCTGCAGATATTGAAAAAATCCCAAAAATCGTCTGACATTGTCGATATTTTTCTCCTTCAACGGCGGGAAATATTTGAAATCCGAAAATAGAGAGATTACGATTCCTCCCTCGGCAAACGAGAAAAGTCAGAGAATATCTGGCACACAGTGGCGTGTCGAATAATTTATGCAGTACTCTTTGGAGTTGTTACGTGACAGTGTGAGAGACACAGATACACCCACACATGAATAGAGTCTGTCTCTCACAACCCGAGATTTAGAGAACGGATTGAAACGGTCGTGTCGACCGAGAGACCTGTTGCCAGTGGAAAAGCGCCGCATGCACCCACAAACCCCGAGCCCACCCCCCAGTCCCAATTTTCCCAATGTTTGACCCATTACCCCACGCCCTCTCTCTCATAAACTTATTGAACATTTTTTTTTTTTCAATTTAATGATAAAAAAAAAGGGATGAAATTAAGGGAACGGGCGTCGTCCTGCGCGTATGCCTTGACCACGGACAACCGCGCCCGAAACCTTTTCTTCCCCTTCCTTATTCCAATTTTACCCCTCAAACTACACCCTTCAACCCCTCCTAGGGGCTTGCACCCTATCCCCTCATTCCTTTTCCCTAACCGGCGTCGACTCACTGCTTCATCCCCACTATTTTCTTCACTGTCGCCTTGCACCCCCAGCAAGAGTGAGACTCAAGCATTTTCTCGTGGACTTCAAACCTTCGATTCGATAACGTACCGTGATCTCCATCGTGTGATCAATTGGTTAGTCATGATTTCGATATTATTGGTTATTTGTCGTGGTGACCACCGGGTGGGTTGTGCATTTTGAAGGAAATTGCGGAGAGGTGAGGACTTGTCTCGAAACATGTGCTCTGTGGTGTTACCGGGGGTGGTTTTGGGGGTGTGTTGTGGAGGAAATTGTTATTTGTTGCCCCATGTGCTGTAGGATTGCAATTATTTTTTCGCTTTATGGGGCACTTCTTGGAAATTTCAGTGCTTGGACACCGTAATGAGGGCTGGGGAAAAATTTCCCAGGATTCCCAGGTTTTTTATCAAACTATTTTACGCGGTGATTATTCGGAAATAATTGTTTTTTTTTGTGGATTTTTAGGGATTGGTTTATATTTAGACAGTTGTTTATGTTATTTGTGGCATTTGCGGCAGATGAGGATGAGAAGAATCCAATATTTTTAATTCGTAGAAATTACTTTTGCAATTTCACGGATTTTTTTAATTGGGAATAACTCATTTTGTGGAAGGATTAATGGAAATTTTTTGCTTAGAATTGTTTCGTGGAGCTTCAGTGAGTTGAGAATATTTTCGTTTTTTTTGTTGATAAAAATTGATAATTGAAATTATGAGATACGTCTCACGAAATTTCAAATTCCAGAAAGATACTTTTAAATGTTTATAATAAAAATTCTGAAAAAACAAACAAGTGACTGAAAATTACGAAACCTCTAAATTTAAATAGAATAATATCAGAAAAAATCTTAAGTAAAAATTCCGAGTAATTTATAATTTTATAAAACATTTGAATGAAAATCGACGAAAAATCCAAATTATCGATTTCAATCAATTTCCAGATATTTTCCAGATATTTCTACATCCAAAATTCCCCAAAAATTCCAGGAAGTGTAACATAAATTTCAAAAAAAAAAACCCCAAAATAAAGCCTGAAAGCACTATTTTCCGTACCAACGAAGACTCGACTAAAATAACTCTCTCTCAGTAATCATCTCGACACTATTCCCCTCTCATAATGTATAACACGTCTCAACAGTTTAAAATTGATGGTGCGTGATTGAGATTCGATATCGAAGGAAGTGCTAATCATTTGTCACTGATCCCCGACTTCCGGTGTTTCCCCTCATTGATTTTCCTCGTTATTTTTCCAATCAACAATGCATTTTCCCGGTTGAAATAATAGAAGAAAATAATGCATTTATGGCGTCCACGGTCACGGGTAGACGTTGACACTGGTGTTGGTGCATGTGTGCCAGAAGACGTAATCGCGATTGAGGCCGAGTCGTGTCGGGTAATGCCGTAACAGACTGAAAGAAGAGGAAAAAAAAACATTTCAAATGAAAAAAAGAGAATGATGTCGATCGAGCGCAACGACCCGACGATGTCGCACTGCCTCTCGCACTCCAGCCCGAGGCAATTTCAAGTACTGAGAGACTGAGTGGACGTATGTCAAAGTAGAATAGGTATGCTCCAATTCACCGATCCAGATTTCCTTTTAAAAATCGGCTCATTTTATTTCTCTTCATTCTCCCAATGCACGCTGAAAGCTTAATTCACCAAAAGTTATAACTTCCCGTACGCTAACAGCAATATTCAATAAAAATTACGGAGCTTGAGATGAAAAGTTTATATTTACGAAATATATGTCAATTATATTCGGATATATAATTGCTTATATCTCGGTAAAAAAATGCATTGGATAATTTTAGGTATTGGCTAATTTATTCTATTTATTTGTGATGTGTTGAATTTGCAAAATTTTCTATCATCGATTTTCCTCCTAGAATTACGGAAATGATGGGTAATTTTTCATAAATCATTAACTCTCTGCGAGAAAGAAAAATATATGTCAAAATGGAAGTCAGACAAGTGCATTGGTTATAATATATATCATGCAATGGGATCCTATTCTTTTGAATTGTGCAGGAAAAATTTCATGCCTGATAATTTCCAATGAACTCTCGTTTCGAAAGTTAGATATACCTGAAAAAAAAGTTCCCACCGCGTGGTATTCGACATGAATTGCATTGAAATTTCGGTTTACCACATTGCCCACCCACGTGCGGTATGTGTGATCGCGTCGCGTGCCGAACACTCGGGCGTTATTATTTCCGTGAGGTATCTTTGGAATTTACTTGGCAAACCGAAATGCCAACCATCAGCTTTAGCCACCAGAATATTCGCAAATTAGTTTTTAAGTGGAACTCACAAAATGCCGCTGTTTTTTCAGCATCAATTTCTTGGAAATTCAAGTCCCACGAGATTATGAAATTAGGAGAATTATTAAATTGGGATTATTGTTTTCGCGTTGTGACGCCATTTTTTACGGGTGAAATTGAAGCCTTTGGGAGCTCTAAGTGGCATCATTAGAAAGCCGGGGAAATTTTGTGCAGAAAGAAAAAAAAAACGAAATGTTTTGCTTCAATAGTTTTGGAGATATTGTGGAAATTACAGTATAATGAGGTTAGAGCCGACGTAATATCTAGCGTTCCGCTAGATCGAAATGAGATTACACCAGATATGCTAATAATAATAATAATATTGTACATAAGATGTGAGTCCACAGTCTGCGAACACCTGTGAGATTGCATCTAGCGCAAGCTAGCGTCATCTAGCGACCTCTAGAAATGATTTTGAATTTTATATTAAAACCATCAGTCTACTCACTGTATCCTAGGATTAACTGCTAAGCATCAGATTACACTACATAATTTTCTAGCGGTCGCTAGAAATGATGCTGATGTCGGGAAAATCAAAATAATATTCACAGAAGATCCAATTATTCACCCTCAAATCTAATTCTTGCATTGGAAGGTTAAATTGAAGTTAAAATAGGAAATAACATTTATGTGCTGGTGTAATCGATAACAATTAACACTCCGGTGGGTTGACGCACTGGGTAAATTCGTTGCCTCACATGCGGAAGGTTTCAAGTTCAAATCTCAGCTGGGTCGAGTTTTGAGATTTACCCTTTTAAATTCTTACTTAATACTTATTATCCGTGAATCGGGTGAAACACTATAAAATGACCCTAAAAATCATAACCCAAATGGGCTTCACCGTTGACCCAAAAATCGGGTAAAAACGGCATAAAATAACATAATATGACCCTCGACCTGAAAAATAACGAAAACGGGCCCCGCCTTTCACCCAAAAATCGAAAAAAAATGAGGAAATTGCCCTCAGCTTGATTTCTCCCGTTTCTTATCCCTCACTTCGTCGCCTGGGGGTCCTCAACCCTCCGTCACACGCACACACATCCGATAAATGTGAGAAGAGGTGAAGGTGGAAAGAGGGTGGAGATGTGCAGCTGCGCCGACGGTGATCGTTAAAAGGCGCATAAAAGAGGCAGCGCGAATGGCAACAATAAAATTTCGTGGGCCTTCGTGTTTCGTCGTCGTTGTCGGCTAGAAGGAAGGAGGTGGCGGGTAGTACAGGGAGAAACTAAAGAGTACCAGGAGAGGAGTAAAGCCCGAGAAAGAGTAAAAAAATTGTAATAAAAAGTAAAAGAGGAAACGCGAATGGTAGGAGAGGAAAAAAAGACAAGGGGGTTGGAGGAGGGGGTTAAAAAAATGGGGAAAAATCGCGACGTCGTGGGGACGTTGGGTGGGGGTGGCA